CTTCCACACTTTATGCAGAAATAGGAGAAGAGAAGAAGACAGAGAAGGAGTGTTGATGATGCCAAATTGAAAGGCAATAATGTCATTTGCTTTGAAATGATCATTTCAGTTACTATGGAAAAAGAAATAAATTGTGATAACCATTTTAGAGAGCTATTCTCACTTACACATTGCACTGTGTTGCTCACCAGTAAATGCAACAAATAGTTAATGTGCAATTTCACTGATATATGCAAGACTATTTCCATGCCAATTTAGTTCATCTTCTAAAAATTATTTTTCCACAAGACTTATTGATGCCAGACTCAGAAGAGCTTTATAAGTCCTAGGGAACAGCCCGATGGCTGCACTGCACTGCCCCCAAACCAGAAGATCAAGACCAGTGGCCAGCCCATGAACTTGTAGATGTCGCCTTGTGGGAGGGAGTGGCATTTCCTCACTTCTATCTCCTTGCTCCCATGTCCCCTTGACTTGTGGTTAAACTGAGATAGAATTATACTGGAGGTGTGGCTACAGAATGCCATATTATAATTACTGGGCCTTAGTGCTTCGCAGGCTCTTTCTCAGTGTTCCCTAATTAATCTTTCTCACCCCTGGCTATGTCAGTTTATCTCTGTGCTGCAGTTGGAGAGACTGAAGCAGACAGGTTAAAAGTCTTTCCTGCAGCCTGGAGAGGAGACAGGATCTGTCAAATATCTTTTTAATGAGAAGGTCCCAACTCTTATTTTTCACAGTTTAACCGTGGCCTTTGCACTTAGAGGAATCCATTTTTTGGCAGCCTGGTGTAGAAGAGGTAGGAGCAGGGGTGGGGAACACCCTCGTCCTGTCCTGGCTCTGCTGGCTTTTTGCCACACGGTCTCACTCAAGGATCTTGCTACAGTTTTGTGTCTTGGGCACCAGTTGGGTCTTCTGACAAGAGGAATTTCTGGTGTTTTGTCAAGGACGCATTTGCAGACAGGAGTGTGTTTGTATAGAGTGCTGCAGGCCAAACTTGAGGTGAGGGCTTAGGCCAAGTTTGGGATCTGGGCTTCCTTGGACATTTAGATAAGGATTTCAGAGGAAATAATAAGTGAATTTGCCTAGAGTATACAGACATAGAATCACAGAATCACAGAATTTATAGGTTGGAAGAGACCTCAAGATCATCGAGTCCAACCTCTAAGCTAACACTAACAGTCCCCACTAAACCATATCCCTAAGCTCTACATCTAAACGTCTTTTGAAGACTTCCAGGGATGGTGACTCCACCACCTCCCTGGGCAGCCCGTTCCAGTGCCTAACAACCCTTTCAGTAAAGAAGTTCTTCCTAACATCCAACCTAAAACTCCCCTGGCGTAACTTTAGCCCATTCCCCCTCGTCCTGTCACCAGGCACATGGGAGAACAGGCCAACCCCCACCTCGCTGCAGCCTCCTTTAATGTACTTATACAGAGCAATAAGGTCACCCCTGAGCCTCCTCTTCTCTAGGCTGAACAAGCCCAGCTCCTTCAGCCGCTCCTCATAGGACTTGCTCTCCAGGCCCCTCACCAGCTTCGTCGCCCTTCTTTGGACCCGCTCAAGCACCTCGATGTCCTTCTTGTAGCGAGGGGCCCAAAACTGAACACAGTACTCGAGGTGCGGCCTCACCAGAGCCGAGTACAGGGGGACATCACAGGAAAGGTATGCCTAAGAGAAACACATCCACATATGATCATGTATGAGATGTTACAGCTGCGCTGTGGTGGTCCACCATGGTGGTCAGGCAAGTATCTTGTCTCTGCACAGTTTTTTTGAGCAAGTTCTCATCTTTCAATTCTGAACTCTATCTCTACCTGCAGTCCGTGAGATTTCTTATATTCATTTACAGATTATCATCTAAATATTTATTCTCATCAAATGATCAACTTGCAACACCAGAACCCAATCTTTTTTGGTGGGACTTAAGGAATAATAACAGTGTGGGGGCACGTAGAGGGTTGCACAATTGGCATGGTGCACATTTCACTTATGAGTGTCCATCTAAAAGCTAAGCATCCAGGTGCAAATTTGTCATCTATGCTCTCTCTCTGGTAAGTGAAAAGACGTAGTCTTTGGTGGGATCTATCTTTTCTCAGTGATTAGACAATTTCTGGCATCTTGAAATGAATCACCTTGTGGTGTTTCCAACCCTTGTTTTCTATTTGGTAGAAAGATTTAGCTATAGCTTCTTAAACCTGTTGTTATTATATGTATGGAATATTAAGGCAAAAGTTATGGAAAGAGCTATTGTCTCTATCAGACAGATGGAGAAAAACAGGGAAGATTTAGGCTTTCAGCAAAACTTTAAGATACTGGAAGAGAAAGACCTTCCATTTTGCTTAGTTTCAAGGCTGATTCTCAGACATCTAAAATAGATAGCATGATGTCTGCAGTTGACATATTTTAAATATCATAAGTGTTCTTTCTTCAAAAGCATAAGACTGTTAAATGGCACTTTGTAATATTTGTTTAAAACTGTGCTTAAAGTCCTTGTCATGTAAGTTAGCTGCTTAGGAGCTCTTACATCATTCTCCACAGATAAGGCTTGTACCATAGTAGTTGTTCTTATCACCTCTCAGCATATGTACGTCTTAAGAGTATGTCTGAAGCTGGAACAGAAATTGGAAGAAATTTTTGATGTTTTTATTTTTTGAATTACAAAAACTGAATTACATCGAAAAATCATTAGAGTTCTCAGCAAATATCAAAAAATCTATGCTACTACCAGAAAGGAAACAACGCTCAAGAGTATCACTATAAAAATAAGTTTGTGAAAATAGTCAGAGAATGGAGAAATGCATTATTTGACATGCTGGATCTAGCAGTGAATGTCATATTTCTCTTACTTCACCTGCCTATGGGAAACTCATATTCAGAAACATCTCATCTTTTCCAGGGACATGAACAGCTAAGTCTAAGTCAGACACCCAAATTTTTCTTGCAGTTTTGAGAAAAATAATCATCCTGGTAGCATTTCATCTCACCTGCTATTCCTCTTATTCCACATCAATTAAGAACTAGAATTTTTTAAAATTACCTACGAAAGTAAGAAGGATAATGCCTTCAGTAGCCCAGCAAGATACCTGATGCTCCAGAGTGACAATTCCTGATGCAGGTGACCTCTTCAAGCTCCTGCTGCTGCCTTGCTCAGATGCCCTAACTGAATATCCAGAGCACAACAGCTGTCTCTTTGGGGAGGGAGCTGTCTCAGTTGTCTCTGATAATTCATCCATAAATATTCATTGGGATGGAGAGGGAAGAAAGTGTATGGATGGAAGGATTTTCATCTCCCATCACCTTGGTTGTAAGGAGAAATTAAATCTTGAAAATATTCCAGAAAACTCCTAAGGCTTTTGCCAAAGTTATGTGCCTGCCTGTAAGAGAGCTTTTTTTTTTTTTTTTTTTTTTTTTTTTTTTTTTTTTTTAATATATTTTAGAATAATGTTTTCTGAGAAAACCATAGGTCTCAGTAAATTTAGTAGATTTTCACCAAGCTTCAGTTTCAAATACAAATACTGACATATGGTTGGAGCAGAACTTCAGACAGGGAGAAAATCAAGGCTGCCAAAATTAGTCAAGAGATATCCTAGAAATTAAAATATTGCCTTCATTTGGTCATATAAATGGTTTTAATATGGTAGTAATTTGGCCAACAGAAATAGGATGAAGCAGTGAAGAGGAAGAAATTGCTTCCAAAGTATTATTATATGTAGAGGTTATTTCTTCGTCCAGTGTTAGGTAATAAGTGATGTGCAGGAAAGTGTTAAAAACAATCAGGGAAGATTTGCAACTTCAATTTCTAGTAAAAGGAGGAGCCCTTCATACAGGTAACAGAATGGAAAACTGATACAGTTGAATGTTTGGGTATGGTTCCCCCTCTTGTGCTTTGAACTAGAATTGCAGTCCTATGGAACAAAGTTTTGCTGGTCTAAAACGGCAAGGGAAGGTAGTAAGAGGCATCCGTCCTGCACAGGGCTGGCAAATGTGACTCAGAACCTGTAGGAGACCAGCATCACCTTGAGGAGCAGCTGGAGGTGTGATGGGGCACCGCATTGCACCCTGCTTGGCACTGGGGTGTGGTGTTTGCTCTGCAGAGGCTTGGGAGGGCCATCAGGAAGAAGATTAGTGGGAAGGATCTCTTATGTTTATTGAGAATATGCTTTTTAGTTCTTTGCACGTTTTTTGATATCTGTCAAAGTTTATAAACAGGAAGCATAAAGAGCTTCTATTTCCTATATATCTACCTTTTTATTAAAGAAAAAAAAATGTGTGTGTGTTTATATATTGGATATGAAGATAAAATCACAGTCTGTTTCACATTCATGTTGCTGGTGTAATCTGGTCTAAGCATTTTCTGGAAGTTCTGGAGAAAATATCCCCCTATTAATAAGTATTTTAGGATGCATGAACTTTTTTTTTCCCTTTTCTTTTTTTGAGGCTGTATTTATACCAACATAAATTCCAAGCAACATAAATTCCAAGCAAGAGAGGGACTTACTCATAGAGACTATGGAAAGGCCATCTCTTTCTTTGTATAAATGGTTTAAAAAAGATTCTAATTTCTTGACTGTTGGTGCTATATGAGAAAAAATACATATAATTTATCACTTGGATATTAAGATCTATCAGATTTGTGTTAAGGCCACAGGGCAAAAGCTGGCAGATTTGAGGAGTTCCTCTTATTTCAGCTGTGAAAAATAATGCTTTTGTCTCTTCTTTTCTTTTCCTCATATGCATAAAATTGTGCAGATCTTTGAAATACACACAAAGTATTTTCCAAATGGAAAAATTATAAATAACTTCAATGAAAAGCTCTGTTTGTGAACATATTTTTATTTAGCAGGAATGTATTCCATTTATAATTGAAGAAAAGGTAACAGAAGAAAGTTAAGTGGAATTTAACATATTTCTGTGTTTTAAAAGTGTATTTCCCGTTAAAAGGAAATGAATCAGTGGAAGATCCACCAAAAGGAAAACCAAAAAGTAACACATTAGTAGCTTAATCATGATTTCTATAAAGCCTAAAATAACATCAGAGGTTATCTGAGCTTCTAGACTAATTTGGGACTGAAATAATTGTGCGATTTCATAAAAAAAAAAAAAAAAAAGTTTACATACAAGTCAATCTGAGCTGATACACTGAGCATGAATGTGCTTCGTGGTTAGTTCTACTTTTTTTTTTTTTCCCAATAAGTAAGTCCCAAAGCAGCTACAATGACATCCACCAGGATATTAGACGATTTGAGTGGTGCATTTACAGGTAGCAGCACACTTCTCTCTCACCACCGGATGGCGGCAGCCAAACAAGGTTCTCATATTTTTGCAGTTTGGAAACGCATCTCGATGCCTGCAAGGATTGGCTAAAAAAGAACAGATAGAAAAAAATCATGAAATATTGATTGAAAAAAAAACAGTGCTGGTCTGATACTTCTGCATTTTCCATCATGCATCTTCTCATTAATTTTCTTGCCTACTTAGCCTTTATACGTTTGCTCTGCTGTTCAAATTGCTTGAATATTATGTAAAAGGGAAAACAGACAGAAAGGTGGTATCTTACAGTTCCTGTCCAGTTTTATACTTGGAGTTGCTCCACGTGGAAGTCTACAATATAGGTCATGTGGAGCTCTTTATACATGGACATACACATATGAACTTTCACGATTTGTATGTACATGCACTGAAGATGCACATGCACATGAAGACATTGTCTTGAGTTTTCCAGAAGAGGGCAGCAGAAGACTGGCGATGTGATCAGTCATAGTCATTGCTTGGCAGCAACACAACGCAGCCACTGGCATCGGATGGATGAGGCTGGAAGGGATTTCTGGAGCTCATCTGGTGCCCCCCCCCCCCCCCCCCCCCCCCCGCTCAAAATCGTGCCACTTATGGTGGGCTATTCTATTTAATCAATATCATGTGTAGAAGGAAAACGAAGGAGCAATTCTATGACCTCCTACCTGCAGACTGGCGAAAGGTAAGTACGAAGGAGGAAAAGGGAATGTCATTATTTGAGGTAGTACAATGTTTGTTGTAAGGAGGCAAATACTTACTGCAAAGCCCATTGTCGCAGTGGCCGGGACAATCTGCACATCTTGGTCCACTTTTGTAAGGTGCAGCCACTTGCATTATATTATTTCCTCTGAAATTTGAAAGAAACACAACACAAAATGAGATCAAGATGTAGCTCTGAGCCACTGACAGTTTACTTTCTTTATCCCAATGAAAGACATCCACACATTTTGGATAAAATGACTATTTTCATAGATATTCATGTTTCAGTTTGAGCTATGCATAGAATTTTAAATCAAATAGGTGTTTGGGGAAAGAAAACTAATTGACTATTTGCCTTTGTGTAACATTATCAGTTTAAAATGTCTTATGTGCTTATGTGCTTCCTGGCTGTACTTTTCTAATGGCTTTCAAGTATGTCGTGGCTCATAAGAAAATTACCTCAGCAGCCACCTTCTGACATGAAGGAGTCAGAGGTATGCTTTTTACCTCTGTGAATATTTATTTGCTGTTGGCTTTCACTTTTTGTCTGTCTTCTTTGTGGTCAAAGTTATAGCATGATGCCTGATCCTTACACAGACAGACCTTTCTTTATTCAAATGCTAAAATTTCCCAAATTTCTGTTTCAGCGTGAAATGAAATAAATATTAACATTTAATCTAACGTTAAAAACACAATTCATATGCGTGTTTTCAAAATTACAAATGGCTAAAAGAAACTATAGACATTTGATCTACAAATCACCTATGGACTACTGGAGTTTTTGAAAACATATCCAGAATTATCACATCTTAAGAAAATAAAAAGGCAATACTTACGGAGGACAGTAATGGCAAACATAAAAGTAGTTGTACTGGTTTCTAGGACAGTAGGCAACTGCACATCCAACCTGGTAGCTGTTATACCACACTAGCTGTAGAATCAAAAATAAACATATTTTTTTTCAGAGACATATTTTCTTGAATTCTCATCAATGACATTTTTTTTTCTTCTGATAATAAACGCCTCTCAGCAACCTTGATTGTACACATATAATTCTAGTGTATCATTGCAGTTTGCTTCAATTATCCATACCTGAGCATAGCTCTTGACATTGGCATTCTTTGTAGTTGCTCCAAAACCATACTTGAAATTGGAGCCCTGACTGTTCCAGACTTGGATTGTTTCAGCCCATGTTTTTGGTTGAGATGAGAGCAATATATTCTCACCGCAGGTGATGCCTGAAGTAGTAAAGTAGGTATATTTTATTACATAGCAAGGAAGCAAGTTGTAGGGTGGAAGGTATGATGGGGAGAGTGTAATTACATCCTAAACAAAGGGTCTACAATGTCAACCTATTTCCCCTGTGATTTTAAAGGGGACAGTACACTTGATCTTATGAAAGTGTCAGGGAATGCTACTTTGATTTTGGTGAGCTTTTAACTACAATGTGCTACACAAAAATGTCTGTACTTAGTCATACCCACAGTCTTCTATTATGCCATCTTGTCTCCAGCAGGAGCTAGGAGCTAAAAGAGGGTACTTAAAGAAAGGTACAAGAACAGGGCAAGTACACAGCTTCCCTCTCTCAAGCTCCAACAGTTTGTCTTTCAGGGACTTTCTCTGACAAAGATGATGTTTTTGTGTTTAATAATTCTCCAAAGATATTCTACAACAGCTTAAAATGTATCCATATTTCTACTTCACATGAACAAGGGTCATCTGCAAATCAACATTAACCCATAAGCTTAGGATCGATGTTGTTTATGTACCGTCAATAACTCTCTGATCTGTTGGACTGATTTCCATTTCACACTTCTTTGCCCATTTCTGAGCATTTTTAGCAGCTCTCTCATTCCAAACCTGAAAGACACAAAGTAAGAAACAAGTCACAGGCAAATTTGTGCAGTCCATGAAGGAGAAGAAAAACATGGGGAATTATTTGCACTTGGAGTGCTGAATGCTTTGGGTTCCTTAAAAGAAAGCAAAGGACCTGTGCCAGTTTACACTACTGGGCATGAGACATGGGCACCATGTTTCTTCAGCCCTTAAGGGCTGCAGATCGAGCAATTCTGTAGAATATCACAGTCCAGATCTCCAGAAAATCCTGGTTTATAGAAATGTTAAAACATACTATTACCTTCTTTTACCTTTGTGCCTGAATTAACTTTGTAAGGTACAGTGCAAACGGTACAAAATTGAGCTTCAAGCCTAGGAGAGTTGAGCTTCAGCTCCTAGGTGGAGCTGAGATGTAGTGATAGACACCAGCCAGTCTTTGAAGCAGGGGAATGTTTGCAAGTCTTACCATGCAGACTTAACCATAAAGCACTGAGCAGCTCTGCCCATTGAATAGGTATAACAAAAAATATCAAGAGTGATGTGTATGGTAACAGCAACGAGCAAAACAAGTTCATCTGAGGCCAGACAGCTATGCAGGTCTAGGCCTTTTTTTGCCTTCCCCATTATGTTTAATTCAGAAAAATGTTGCTGGTACCCCAATTCCATCCTTGCTTTGCCCACTTTCCTTCATTCAGGGTGTATGTTTCTTTTCTTCCAAGGTAAAAGCTTTCCCTGAAAAAGATTGCAGTTTATGCCTATTGCAATGAGAAAACATAAGGCAAGAATTTGTGATTCACTTTGCAGGCTATATTAATACAGGTTTAACAACAATAAATGGATATGGTTGCAGCAAGCCTGTATTTATATTTTCTCTAGACAGATGTCCCTAGATAAGGGAGATTTGCCATGTTGCTTAACTGAGTTTTTCTAACTGCAGAAACTAAGACATGTTGGTTATGAGAGAGGTTTTGAGCAGTGCTTGGGGCATGTTCTTTGCAATGATTTTACAAGTGCTTACAGCACTGAAGTGTGCAGACTTAAAGCATGAAGCCTGCAGAAACACAGGGATAAAATTCTGATTTCTTAATCTGAATCCCAGAGAACCTTTCTTGCCCTATCTACTCACTGAGTGTGGGGTTTTTAGAAGGCTACAATCTTCTGCTAATGATCTGGAAAGCAGGGTAGTGGATATGCATAGCTTACCATCTTCAGCATGTTCCTGGCTGTTGGAACTACAGATCTTCTTATTTGATTGTGTTCTTTAAGGATGACTTGCTTATTTTTCAGCTGAATAATATTTTGTTGCTGAAGCATCTGTTGTTTGCTTTGCATCTGAAAACCATTGTATTTCTGTTGTGCTGGTTGCTGAGGTTGCTGAGGTTGCTGAGGTTTCTTTATTGGTGGTAGCCGGGCTGGTTTCTTTACTGGTGGTACGTATACTGGTTTCTTTACTGGTGGTACGTATACTGGTTTCTTTACTGGTGGTACGTATACTGGTTTCTTTATTGCTGGTACCTGTACTGGTTTCTTTATTGGTGGTAGCTGTACTGGTTTCTGTATTGGTATCTGCTTGTGTATCGGTTTTTGTACTGGTTTGTATATCGGTTTCTGTATTGGTTTCTTTACTGGCTTCTGTATTGGGTATTTAACGGGAAAAGGTGGAAAGAGGGGTGTGTCCACTTGTTTACTCTGATACACCTGGAAAACAGTAAATGATTGTTCCAGTTATCCAAGGTTTACTAAGCAAGATAGACCGTGAAATTATTGTCAAAGTAAAGCTGCATGGAAATTCTCAACTTTCCTTTATTGGTTCTCCTATTCTTGTAACTGGTGATTTTTTATTTTATTTTATTTTTCTCCCTCCCTTCATTTGAACCATATAGTTAATAAAGAGATGTGACCCTAAGTGAAATTTGTGATTAGTATTTCTACCTTCAGAAAGAAAGATTTCTAGTCTTCATGGAGAAAGCTTAGCTCTGGAACCAAATGTCATGACTGGTTTTGACCTTCTGTGAGTACTAAAAAATTCCTAGATCTCATCACTTGCAATGAAGCTGGATCAGAATTTAAAGCCCTTTGCAGACCATCTTCTGAAATACATAAGATCAAGAAGGCAATGAACAGTTTAAATTGTCTCTTATCCAGTGATGACAGGTTTTGAATCCTGGCAAAGAACAATGGTAGCAATGCTCACATTAGAGTTTTCAGACTAGAATGTTCCTTGGGAAGGAATTCTTCCTGCTTAACATCTGAAAATGAATCCTCTCAGTCTAAGCTAGACACCTTACTCTTAGTCATTACTGGAGAGGGCAGACATAGCTCATCAAACAAAACCCAAACTCCTTTTTAGGACTGGAAAAGCTATTCTCTAGAAGTACCTCTTTCTCCTTCCTTTGTTTATAATGAGAGCCTGGGAGAGATCTAGATGATTAATATTTTGATACTTAGGTTGGTGAGATGAATTTCACCATTAGTGTGATGATTTGCATGCTAGGAACAAATTCATCTTACTTAATTTTAGACATCTATACCATAGATGTAAATTTCTAAAAGTCATCTCAGTTTGCCTTCATGGTCAATGAGAAAACCACAACATGAGAGAGACTAAATTTTAAGATGTCCCAATAATATGAATAAATCTCACTTCCCCCTGCTATGACTTCAGAGCTCAATTCTAGGTTTTAAAAGCTGTTGTCAGTGACCTAAAATGGCACCTAATGCCATTTTAAATGCCCAGAGAGCCCTAACTGTTGTTCCAGAAGGTTAAAGCTCTTTGTACAGCCTGTAGAGCCTCTCATGAATGTCTCAGGTACCTCAGGCAATCTCAAACTGCACTGAGACATTTCTGTTTGGGCAACTAAACCTCCCTCAAGAGGTTTTGTTCATCTTGTTCAATTTATGGCATTTACAGTAGTAGAAACTACATCTTGGCCAGTTATCTTAAGCTCTTGGTATAATCAGTTAAACAAGCAATTTAGGACATAGATCACCTGAGCTTTTTTAAAGAAGGATAGGATATTTCAGATGGAAAGGACCTACAAAGATCATCTAATTCAACTATCTGGGTACTTCATGGCCAACCGAAAGTTAAATTATATTAATGAAGGCATTGTCCAAACTCCTCTTGAGCACTGACAATCATGGGACATTAACTGCCTCTCTAGGAAACCTGTTTCAGTCTTTGACTGTCCTCAGAGTAAAGAATTATTTCCTAAAGAAAGAGAAGATTAGCATTCCTAAAGAACCTATTTCTTTTCATCCCTTATTAAGCATATCTTGATAAATAGCTCACATCCAAATGTGTACATAGTAGATATCTACATCCGACAATATTAAGATCTCCTCTCTGAAGAGAAGTGAAGATAAAATATCTGATACTTAGGTAAATTATTTTAGAGCAGTATCAGTTCATATTCTTTTAGGAAAATGTATTTTAAATATTATTTTTGTAAATAGGAGAACATTTTTTGATAGGCAGAATTTTAATACATAAATCTTAGAAAAACAGGAGTTCATCTTTGTTGTGGAAAGGATGTACAAATAATAATTTCAACCCTGAATTGCAGAGCTCGAGATCACTCAACCTGCTAATGCAGATATCTAGACAATGTCCTCAGCAATATGCAATATAACTGTTTTGCATACATGAATAGTCCTACCTGTGCTTCAGCTTGGTGTATCAAAGCAACCAGGCAAAGGACTGCAGTTATTGGACCCATTTCTACAAAGGAAAAAACAAGCAAAGAAACAAACAAAAAACCATTAATCTCTGTTACATAAAACTTGTGGTTTTCTGTGATACGTAAGCAAAATGCAAAACAGCCTCAAAATCAAACACACCACAGAGGAGATTTTTTTTTTTTTTGGTGAATGGTCACCGCTATCTCATATGGAGAGAAGGCTCCACCTTGTACTGAGGAAGAGACCACAAGTAGTATAAAGTTGCATGTTTCTTAAAACAGATGGATCAACCTCCTCTTGATTTCTTTATTCAAAATGCCCTGAATTTTTAGTATTTCTTTCATCTTTGCCTCCTTGTATAAAAAAAAAAAAACAAAAAACAAAAAAACACAATAAAAATCCATTAATACATTCACTTGGGGCCACACCAATGTGCTGTTCAAGCAAGCATCATCTGTTTTGGGAACTTTTATTCTGGAGTGGGGTACTGTTTACACACATCAACAATTGTCTCCATTTCTTTCTTTCTCCCTGTTTCCAAATCAAATCAGCATCATAATCTCTCAATCAGATGGTGCTGATCACCCTCAAGCAGCATCTGGCACATAAACAAAACCTTCAGCCAATACTGTTGCTATTGGTCTCTGGCTGATAAGATACTTTTTAGAAGCAAATACCACAGTATGCACACAGTCTAAAACCCACTCATATTCATGAAATATTTTTTTCTACATGTCAGAAGAAGCAAATCAAATATTACATATCTTTTTGCTACTGAAGACATACATGAAATTTCATCTTTTCAGTTGTTAAAGAATGAAGATTTGGCAAAGTCCTTGGTGAGACAGACTTTGAACTCAACAGTTTATCTTAAAACAGAATGAAGGAAGTAGGGAAAACATGTAATAAAATTAGTTGAACATAATAAACCTTAGATCTGGCTTCTGAGGAAAATCCAGTGTGAGCAGTACAGGTCAGTGGTAGAGATCTAGGAAATCCTGCTTGACAGGGAAACTATTGGTATAACAACTGTTAAAACTGTAAATCTACTATGAAAATACAGTAGATTCACCGATTCATCTCTGCTAAGTGATTAAACAAACATATTTATGTTAGGTGAGAAGAATGAGTTAAGAAAGACTGTAAAGAGCTTTTCCTTCTGGCAAGAACCAAAAGATTGTTTAACATCACAAAGAATTAACAGCAAGTTTCCAGTGTCCTGTAAAAACAACTTACATTTAATTCTTTCTTTTAATCAGTGGTGTAAATATTTTTTATTCCTAGAATGATGATTTTGAAGAGATGGCAGTAATACTGTTATTGATATCCTGTTAGCTGTTTATTAATTTTAATATTCTGTTAACTGTTTAATATCTGAAATTGTCTCTAGATTTATGATATGATTTCCCTTTCATTTATGTTGGGTTTATGTTACTGAAGTCAGAGGATTTTCTTGCTCCTCTGTGTGTGAGTCAGCTCTACATGTGTGGTGTGAGAAATTGATGTTTATTATAGTAATAACAATAATAATAAAAATAATAAATAATGATTGGGGTCCAGACATTATTTATTTATTTATTTATTTTTCTTCTTCCATTTCTAAATAGTGCATCAACTCCATTACTTTCACCTTCACTGAGGAGCATTCTGATCTCTGCCAGGGCACATGTAGATCCATTTATAATTCTAGTTTGGAGCTAAATCTCTAAGCAAAATCCAGCACTGGGCAGAGGGCATGGTAATGGCCTACATGAAGTTTTCCTTATGCTTGAGATCCCTTTTATGTTTACATTTTATGAGTATTCCACAGTAGTTTACAGCATAGGAAACACTTTCCCTTATGATTGGAGCTCACTCAACCAGAGAACATAAATGTACCATGTGCTATGCTTAGCCAAAAGATCTTGCTAATACTAAATTATATCTTGTGCTAATAGTCACAAGAGAGCATTCATGAACAAACATAAGGCATGAATCAGTGTATCAGAAGAATTTTTTTTTGATGCTTGGCTATGCAGAACTTCAACATACAGAAACAAGATCTTTCTGTGACTACAAAAAAAAGTGCTGCAACTGGAAACATAAAACATTTCTAGCTTCAGAAGTAAATTTGATTAAAATACGACACATCTTCAATTGTCAGACCACACAATCAAATCCATCTTTTAGAGCAAATTTATTTGGCATTAGTTTCAAAATCAGAAGATGACTGTTCCCAGATACTTCCATGCCAATACTATACTAGTCAATCAGCTAAATCACTTCTACACTTTTGAAGAGACAAATACCAGCAACATAGTTTTATGTAGCTCTGCTTGAAAACTCGTACGTTTCATGCAACTTCATCAGATGTTAAAACAATATTAAAAATCTTCTAGTTAAAAAGCTAGGAACAAATTATATTTGAAAAATACAGAGCAGACTGTGTGTGTGTGTGTGTGTGTGTGTGTGTGTTTAATCTTGGTACTTCACTCCTCAGAAGAGACTTTTTCCTGCCAGCAGATAAAACTTTCAGGGTATAGCAGGTCTGAAAATTTACAACAGTAAGGATATTTTTCACTTCAGTTACTTTGATATATTTTTTTTAACTGTCTTTGAGTTTGCATCTATAAATTTCATTTTGTAACAAAATTTTCATTCTGCATTAAGAAGACACAATCATCTTATTGTATATGAGAAGATATAATAGATATTTTAAAATAGTATATACCTGAAAGCTTGGACAAGTACTTGACAGCTATAGATAGCAAAATATTGAGTCTATCTGTACTGATATATACCCACATTCCAGATAAATAAATTTCACATAACAATAATTCAAGTTTCATTAAAAAAAGCATTTCTTGTGATTGACTATAATCAAATACAAAGTGGATTAATATATGTTCACATTTGAAGAATGAAGCAAGCAAGACCAAGTGCTACTTTTTGATATAAAGAATCGCAAATTAGACTTCATGTAAAGTGTTTCTCACCCAGATGAGTAGAATGTTTTCTAAGCAGAAAATGTAATTTTTTAAAAAATTCTTAAAATTAATAGAAGCATGCATTTTCTTTTAATTACCGGGTTTGGTAAGACTTAGATATTAACTACGTTAGCATGCACAACACAATGCCCAATTAATGCTGACCAAGTGACTCTATGGATAAAATTTCTAATAAATTAAATTCTCCATACATTACCTTTGTCTAGCTAGACTTCTCTCTTGGGAAGAGTGGTAGAAGTCAGAGGCTTTCCTCACTCTGGGGTTGTATATATATATATACATTCACTTCTCTTTCTTTGTCAATATTTATTGCAGATAAATGACATCAGCTTTGGGGTTGCACATTTGAAAAGAATGAACTTATCTTAAGAAACAGGTGACTGAAAATGAAACAATCTAACTGCATTGCTCTGGATTTTTTTTTTTTCTCTCTCTTGTTTACAGGGCAAGGAAAGGGAAGATAAGAAGCCATTTTGCAACACAAAATGACTTTGCCAAAAAAGCTTGTAGGTTGATCAGCAGGCTGTAGTGCTAAAGTTGTGTTCACAAAATGAAAGCTCAAGTTTGGGATAGCTGCTTGGCAATTGTTTTTTCTGTCTCTAGCAAAAGAGTGGTATAAATTGTTTGAGGCAGAAGCATAAGTCAGCCAGTCACCTTGTGGCCATGCACAGAATGACCTACAAACTGGGGAACACAGTGATATTTTCTTCCAAGTTGTTCCTGAACTTTCATTTACTAAATAAAATGTGTATTGCATTATGTCACTGAGACCAAAAGGCTGTGGCACTGGGCATTACTTATATGCACAATAAAAGACTGTCATCCCATGTGTTGCACAAAAGTAACCTACTTGTAGACTGACTACATATGTGTATCTCTTCCCCGTCAGTCTGAAGAGATGTTTGAATTGTGTTTGATTTATTTTTATTTGTATTTATATTTTGTCTCCAGGACAGTATCATTTAACTCACCTCATGGCACCTTTACTTCCACTGTCCCTGAAGTAGCATCACAAAATCTGCTTTGGCAGATTCTCAATGTTCAGCTCTGTTCTGTTTAAATACAATTTGTCTTGCTTCCTTCTGTGGTACCTGTTGGCTTTCAGGGGTCAAAAAACATCTCCTCATTCTTTACATGCAGTTCCCTTCCTCATCCTTGCCTTTGCTGTGATGTCTCTACACTGAGCACCGTCTTGGCTGATGCTCAGTTGAGTTTACTGTCTATAAATTACAAATTCAATTTTATTTCAATATTTCCTGTTTTCTGCAGAATTTCTGCAGCCGTTGCTGTTGGTAACATTTTAATATTGGATTACAGTTCCTTTGTAACAAAGCTGCTTTTGTTCTGTATTTGTATAGCGGGCAGTACTATGGGAAGTTACTTGCGATAAGGTCTTCCATATCCTTCAAAGTTCTGAGATAAGGGCAAGGGGGCTTTTTACTCTGTGGTAACTTTTTTTTTTTTTTTTTTTTTTTTTGTGTGTGTGTGTGATAAATTTGATGAGACTACAGTTATTAATATATATAACTACAGTTATTATCACAAGAAAACCCAATAAATTGCCTACCATTGCTATTAAGATTGCGTCTCTATTGACTGTGAGGGAAGGCAGAGTTTGGCAACATCAGATACTCAATGTCTTGGAAGATTGTTCCATTTTCCCCCTGATACCATGTAGACAGTGTTTATCCAAGCTTGAGTAGAAGACTTTAACTGGAAGCACACGTTCCCTTCTGAATCACCCCATCCATTGCACTCAGTAATTTTCAGTAGTTTGCTACAATCATCTGAGCTTTATTTGTATTGTTAAAATGAAATAATACCACTGCAACCATTTCTTTAAAACATGCCACACCTGTTTAAATAGTCAAATCCATTTATTTTATAAAGAATATCTGTCAGTTACTCTACAAATCATGGTCTATGGGTTAAATAACTGGGAAGAAAACAAAGATTAATAAAACTGACATCCGGAACCACGGTACAAAGAGTAATTTAACATACCAATTCCCTCTCCCTTAAGTGGACTACCTGAAAGGGTGGAGCAATTT